GGCAGTGAGGAGGCGACTTGCTTGAAGGCAGTGAGGAGGCGACTTGCTTGAAGGCAGTCAGGAGGCGACTTGCTTGAAGGCAGTCAGGAGGCGACTTGCTTGAAGGCAGTCAGGAGGCGACTTGCTTGAAGGCAGTCAGGAGGCGACTTGCTTGAAGGCAGTCAGGAGGCTGACTTGCTTGAAGGAAGGATGTGAAGGAGGGTGACTTGTTTGAAGGAAGTGAGGAGGTGACTTGTTTGAAGGAAGTGAGGAGGTGACTTGTTTGAAGGCAGTGAGGAGGTGACTTGTTTGAAGGCAGTCAGGAGGTGACTTGTTTGAAGGAGTCAGGAGGTGACTTGTTTGAAGGAAGTGAGGAGGTGACTTGTTTGAAAGAGTAGGAGGTGACTTGTTTGAAGGACAGTAGGAGGTGACTTGTTTGAAGGCAGTCAGGAGGTGACTTGTTTGAAGGCAGTCAGGAGGTGACTTGTTTGAAGGCAGTCAGGAGGTGACTTGTTTGAAGGCAGTCAGGAGGTGACTTGTTTGAAGGCAGTCAGGAGGTGACTTGAAGGAAGTGAGGAGGCGACTTGTTTGAAGGCAAGTGAGGAGGCGACTTGTTTGAAGGCAAGTGAGGAGGTGACTTGTTGAAGGAAGTCAGGAGGGACTTGCTTGAAGGAAGTGAGGAGGGACTTGTTGAAGGCAGTGAGGAGGCGACTTCTTGAAGGCAGTCAGGAGGCGACTTGCTTGAAGGCAGTGGACGGCGACTTGTTCGAAGGCAGTCGAGGAGGGACTTGCTTGAAGGCAGTCAGGAGGCGACTTGCTTGAAGGCAGTAGAGAAGCTTGACAGTGGAGTTTTGAAGGCAGTCAGGAGGCGACTTGTTGAAGGCAGTCAGGAGGGACTTGTTTAAGGGCAGTGAGGAGGTGACTTGTTTGAAGGCAGTGAGGAGGTGACTTGTTTGAAGGCAGTAGGAGGTGACTTGGAAGGCAGTCAGGAGGTGACTTGGAAGGCAGTCAGGAGGTGACTTGTTTGAAGGCAGTGAGGAGGTGACTTGTTTGAAGGCAGTGAGGAGGTGACTTGTTTGAAGGAAGTGAGGAGGTGACTTGTTTGAAGGAAGTGAGGAGGTGACTTGTTTGAAGGAAGTGAGGAGGTGACTTATTTGAAGGCAGTGAGGAGGTGACTTATTTGAAGGCAGTGAGGAGGTGACTTGTTCGAAGGCAGTGACGTGACTTGTTGAAGGCAGTGAGGACTTGTTGAAGGCAGTCAGGAGGCGACTTGTTTGAAGGCAGTGAGAAGGGACTTGCTTGAAGGCAGTGAGGAGGGACTTGCTTGAAGGCAGTAGGAGGGACTTGTTTGAAGGCAGTGAGGAGGTGACTTGTTTGAAGGCAGTGAGGAGGTGACTTGTTTGAAGGCAGTGAGGAGGTGACTTGTTTGAAGGCAGTGAGGAGGTGACTTGTTTGAAGGCAGTAAGAGGTGACTTGTTTGAAGGCAGTCAGAGGTGACTTGTTTGAAGGCAGTGCAGAGGTGACTTGTTTGAAGGCAGTCGAGAGGTGACTTGTTTGAAGGCAGTCAGGAGGTGACTTGTTTGAAGGCAGTAGAGGTGACTTGTTTGAAGGCAGTCAGGAGTGACTTGTTGAAGGCAGTCAGGAGGTGACTTGTTGAAGGCAGTCGAGGAGGACTTGTTTGAAGGCAGTGAGGAGGTGACTTGTTTGAAGGCAGTGAGGAGGTGACTTGTTTGAAGGCAGTGAGGAGGTGACTTGTTTGAAGGCAGTGAGGAGGTGACTTGTTTGAAGGCATTGAGGAGGTGACTTGTTTGAAGGCATTGAGGAGGTGACTTGTTTGAAGGCAGTGAGAAGGTGACTTGTTTGAAGGCAGTGAGAAGGTGACTTGTTTGAAGGCAGTGAGAAGGTGACTTGTTTGAAAGGCAGTGAGGAGGTGACTTGTTTGAAGGCATTGAGGAGGTGACTTGTTTGAAGGCAGTGAGGAGGTGACTTGTTTGAAGGCAGTGAGGAGGCGACTTGCTTGAAGGCAGTGAGGAGGCGACTTGCTTGAAGGCAGTGAGGAGGTGATTTGTTTGAAAATAAGAAAGAGGCGATCAGTGTGACAGCAGAAAGTGGCAAGTTTACAGGCAGGGAGAAGACCTGTTTGAGTGCAAGGATAAAATATCTAAAATAAAGGGAGGGAAGAGATAACCAGTATGAAGGATGGATGAAGGCAGGGAGAAAGTCATCAGGCTGAAGGCAGGGATCAAGCAATATGAAGTCAGGAAGATAGTGAACACTATGATGGCAGGAAGGTGATCAGTATGATGGTAGGAAGTAGGTAACTAGTATGAAGGCAGATGGGTGGAAACCAGTACAATGGCAGGTAAGATGTTATTAAGATGAAGGCAGGGAGGAGACGGCTATTGTCAAGGTAGGAAGTGACCAGTATGAAGGTAGGAAGTAACCATATGAAGGTAAGGAAGAAGCAACCAGCATGAAGGAAGGAAGGAATTAAACAGGTATGAAAGGAAAATAGAAAGGAAGTAACCAGTATGAAGAAATAACCAGTATGAAGGTAGGAAGGAAGCACCAGTATTAAGGTAGGAAGGAAGCAACCAGTATGACAGATGGTAGAAGGAAGCAACCAGTATGAAGGTAGGAAGGAAGCAACCAGTATGAGTAGAAGGACACGTATATAACCAGTATGAAGGTAGGAAGGAAGTAAACAGTATGAAGGTAGGAGACACCACAAAGAGTAACCAGTATGAAGGTAGGAAGGAAGTAACCAGTATGAAGGTAGGAAGGAAGCAACCAGTATGAAGGTAGGAAGGAAGCAACCAGTATGAAGGAAGTATTCAGTATGAAGGAAGGAGGTGACCACAATGATTCGAGTCAAAGTTTCAGATATAATGACAGAGAATTTAATACCCTGGCAAGAAAGATGTGTTTTCCTGGGTCTGAGGTAGGGGGCTTACTCTGATATATATTTAATATCCTGTAATTTAAACTAACCCATTTTTCTGAGCAAACATTGTAACGACAACGCAAATTCATTCATTAGCAAGTGGTCCAAAAAATATTGTTAGCATAAATATGTACAATGTTAGGGATGCTTCTTTCATGGCAACGGTTACATCTTTAGAATTTACAGAAATGCTATTGTTAGGATTTCTCAGTCAATAAATTATTAGTATTGGCAGGGGCGGATCTGCTATGAAATTAATTAAGCTTAAGCTTCAGGGCCCCTAATCCTGGATGGCCCCAGAAGGGACTTTAGTCCATGTTGCTTAAAAATTTTGAGTCTACTGTATGAGAAGGGATTTTTAAAAAATAATATAGTGTAATTAAATATAAAATAATAGTTAAAATGACAATTAAAAGGTTATTAATGTGTAATGTTCGAGTAGCTGTTGCTGGTTGCGAAGGAGATCCCATAACAGTTCAAGCTTCAAGGCCCTAAAAATGTAGGTCCGCCACTAGTAAGTAGTCTGAGTATGGAAAAAAGGAATGTTGTATCTACGGACTCTGTAGATACATCACACGAAGTACTAGAAAAAATGAGATAGGGACTTTTGTATGAATAGAAAAACTAGATGTCACTGCAATCATAGAACAATGGATAAATGTTAATAACCAAAATCTAGTTGTTGTGTACCAGAAATCTCATAATCACTGGTTAAGAGGCCTAAAATACTTATTTTTAAATAAGTAGAACGATGTTACTTTAAGTCTAAATATTGATAATACTAAGTTAATCAGTGTCCTAGAAATCTATTTTTTTACTTCTAAAGATTTATATGTATTAAAGAATATTAGAGATATATATTCTTGCTCGTCTAAATATTTGAAATATTTACATAATAAATAAAGTCATTCTTAAACTCCTGTAAGCAATTTCTTTTGTTTTGACTGAACGCAATTTTTATTTACCATGATCTTGTTAACAGGACTCCTTATTTTTATATTAATATTAAAATGATCCAGTAATTCTAAACTGCAATCTGTGTGGCCCGGGTCTAGTGGCTGCTTGAGAACACTTGTGTGAAGATCAGATGATTTGATAGCTGCCTCAAATTGTTTATTCTTACCAAGTAATTTATGCCTTCGATTACTTTTAATTTTTTTTTCTCATAAGGACAGTCTTTAGTTATCTGACAAATTATTTAAGTATAATTATTCGTGTTCCGAGTTAATCTCTTAGCAAAAATTAGCAAGCCGTATTAATGGAAATACATGCTTGTTTCTCCTTTATACCTGTTCAATCTTTCTGTAAATTAATCTCTCAGTTATTAAGAATTTCGGTTAGAAGACAACATTTAGTTAGGTCGGATCAGACGAAGATCAAGGCAATTATTTCATTTTTTCCAGAACGTCTTATAAAACTTTTCATTGATGTGAGATCTCGATGAGAAAAGTTTCAGAGCGCCTCGCTGTAAGTTATAATGAGAGTGATCGGATGATCCCATTAGTGTTACTGTCACATCACTGTGCCTTTGCCCCATCGTCTCAGACCAGAATCTTCAAATGCAAGTGGAATTTTAAATGATTAAGAACAGTGAATAAGAACATAGTGTGTACTGAGGAACTGTCACTGGATGACTGCCGTTTACCAGACTGTTACCTTACAGACACGAGAGATATTACGATTTTAACTAAATAGTGAGCATGTTACGGTAAAAGACTAAACAGTATTTAAAACTAAATATAAAGCAAAACATTTTATCTAATATCTTACCATTGTTTACAGAACGAATCGAAGACGACTATTCATATAATAATTACAATACGAACAATTATATACAATATTGAAAGCAATTCTGAGCATCAAGTTGGGAATAACGTGGAACATGAATCAGCGTAACAACGCCTGCCATGATAACACTGTAATGGAATAGTACAAGTGATAAAGTAGGAATGGCACAAGTGTGCTGGTGATGCAGCAGCGATGGTGTAAGTACTAATGATGCAGCAGTACTGTTACTAGTGTACTGTTGTGATGGTTATGCAAGCAGAGAGAAGCGTCAGGTATGAACACATCTTACCTCTTGTGACGACCTGACAGGTGTGAGGCACTCGTGTGGTGTGTGCCTTAGCCGACCCCCCATGCACAGCTCTCCCTCTTCCCGGGGCACTGATGAAACACTCCTCAACCCCCGACCTTGCTTCACACCCCACTGCGTTCTGACACACACTCCTGGCCGCGCCACACATACCCTCACCCAGTACCACCACCCCTGGGCCGGACCCAAACACCCCGACGCCGGTAAACCCACCCTTCCCGATACCAATCTCCCACACCACAACACTCCCAGGCCAATACATCCCGATAACCTCCAGGACCACCCCACTATTCTAAGGGCACCGCCCCACCACTTTCAAATCAGCTCCATATCCTCACTTAATCCAGGCAATCTAGGCCCAAGTGGGGAAACTTGTCTAAAAATTATTTAAAACAATGAATCCCATGCTTATTTCGAAATATTTTACACAAATATTTTTTATTCACACTAGATAACAGTTTCAGAATTGAACATAACATCTGAGGAGTAACATGATCATTTAATTATTTTGAAGACCTCTTTATCTAATATATGTTAAAAACCCTGCGAAGTCAGAGAAGAGGTTTCAACACGTAACAGACGTGGATAATGGTTTATGTAACCAGTCTTTGACCACTACACAACCAACAGTTTCACTGTGGAAAAGGAAACAGTGGTGTCATAAAATGGTTCTGAACAGTGGGTAGACAACTTGTAGACATATGCAAGACAAACACTGTCTTGCAGACGATGCAACATTCCCGCAATGAAAAGCAGGGGTGCCACTAGCACGATAAGAGACAACACAATAAGTGTCCGGGGCCCAAGACTGTTCAACTGCCTCCCAGCATACATAAAGGGGATTGCCAATAGACCCCTGACTGTCTTCAAGGAGGCGCTGGACAGGCACCTAAAGTCAGTACCTAACCAGTCGGGCTGTGGTTCGTACGTCGGGTTGCGTGCGGCCAACAGTTACAGCCTGGTTGATCAGGTCCTGATCCACCATGAGGCCTGGTCACAGACCGAGCTGAGGGGGCGTTGACCCCCGAACCCTCTCCATGTAAACTAAGTTAAGATCGCCTGTCTTTGATTGTTTGCATTGTACGCATATGTTGAGCAGTCTGTGCATCAAAAGTGCCAAAAAGATTCTTGTAATAGTCTCAGCGGTATGTCAAGTATGTTAATGTATGAGACCATTAACTAGAGGATTTTGGCACCCGAGTCACTCATATGTCAATGACGCCTGACCTATATGAGATCATACCATAGTTCTGCACCTGAGTGGATAACGAGCGCAGGTCACCGCCTGCAGGCAAACGATAGTTTAAATGTAGATATTAGATGAGAGTACACACGGCTGGCAGGCTCGTCGATCTTCCTCAATAAACCAAGAGAGAGCCGAAGTGTATTCATTCAAGGCCTCCTTTTACTATTCTCGAACTCACCTACAACAATACAAATGTTATTAGCCGTGATCTTAAGGCACAACCACTACAATAAAGGCCGTACACTTAGTTCACAGCAGCCTGTGTTTAGTTTCCGTCAGCAATACTTGTTTTGTGCTCAACCTGTCTAACCAACAGGGAAGAAGAACGGTTTGAGGGGCAAAGTGGCCATTCATGTGAAAACAGATTTTTAGGCTACCGTTGAGAAGATCTGAAGAAGTTGTGCAAGAAAGGTATACAATACCGACAAGATGAAAGTTAAGACACATGTGCAACATCTGGGTATCTTAATCGTAGACGTTACGCCATCCAGTGGCTTTACCCTAGAATCTGTATTGATAAAGCCACTGGATGGCGAAACGTCTACAATAAAGATACCCAGATGATGCACATGTGTCGTAACTTTCATCAAGAACTGAATAACGTGAGGAAAAGTTAGCCTGTTAACTTCGCAGCAGAAATGAATTTACAGAAGATCTGCAGAGTGCAGACTCCGTCTACCACCATGACTGCACCATCAATTTCAGAACCTGGAAAACAGATTCCCCTAAAGAATCAGTGTTTTACTGGCTAATCAGCACTGAAACAAATGTGTCGACTCAAAGTCACATCAAGAAGAAGCATTTCCGAAAGTCACTGAATACTTCAGTGAAAATGATAATGGACAGACGATTCTTACAGTGTAAATTACATTTGACTGGATGGACATCATTGCAACGATAACGTCAGGAGTAAAGAAAAACGATCCAGTGCCTAGGTGCACTGTAACAGCTGAAGTAGCCATCAGACAAACCCTTGAAGCCCTTGATATTTAAGAAACAAAAGAACATTTAATATAATGATCAGGCGCATAGGTTGGACCTTCTGTGGAGAGTGACATGGCCATTAAACTCATCAAAACCTGCATAGGAATGATATGGACTTTAAGACAGGGAGACTATCATGGAAAGCCTTCTCTGTTTTCTGCAACTGAAAGACACGAGTTCAAGTGGCATGAGTTATGTGTATTCAAGTCAACATCATGTTTCGCCAGTAATCACTGACCAGCGCACAGTTTCTTAGTATGGGTGTGTGTGGAAAACAATTAGATTAAAGTATGAGGGATGAAAGCGGCAAAAATTGCCAGGATATCTTCAAAAGACATTGCTCATCATAAAATTTGCAATAGAACTGGTAAACAAAGAGAGACAGTAGAGCGCAGCGGGTGGTTAGCTCCCTAAATAAGGTTTATTATACTAATAGTAGGAACGTAAGAAACAGGATAGATGAGCAAATATTAAGTGCATGCGCAGGAGGCATGGATAATATTGCTATAATAAAGATTTAGTTTAACTTGAAAGATAGTGAAATGCCTTCTGAATGTCACATACAACGCTATAAATTGTTCCCCACCGTTAAGATCAATAGGAAGTGTGATGGAATGGCGATGCATGTCAGAAATAGTTCAAACGCTTGCATTAGACAAGATATAAAATTAGAAGCAACGGACATTGAATCTGTTTGGCTACAGTATCTGGAGGTAAATGAAAAAACTTCATCTTGGGAGTGATTTAGAGGCCCCCAAACCTTGTTAGGGAACGTGGTAAACGTCTATGGACGAAACTCCCAAGGCATCTCGTTACGAAAATGTTGTGTTAATGGGAGATTTAAACTTTAGAAAATCTTGAGTCTAGCGACTTTCTTGATAGGATCCATAATTGCTTTTTAAAACAGTTTGTATCGGAACCAACTAGAGGAAACAACCTGCTTAACTTGGCTCTTACCAACAGGGAATTACTAATTATCAATCTTGAGGTTAATGATGAGCTTGAGAAAAGTGATCACAAATCACTCAGTTTCAATATATCAAGAAATTACCTTAATAACCACAACCAAGTAAATGTCCCCGACTTCCAATTTCATAGGACTGAGAAGTTACCTGGGTGAGGTAAACTCGTGTGGTCTGATTGGTCCTAATCCTGTCGGTCAGGTAAGTGGTGAAGGTTACCAACATGGCAGTTTTCGAAGCATAGTTCAATCTACCCAGACTTCTTACGTTCCAAACAGGAAAATTAGATCAAACAAAAATTATTCAGATGGATACACAGGTGATTATAACATCTCATAGAAGAGAGAGTTACTTACAAAATCAATATATTCAGTTAAAAAAGAGAAATAAAAAAAATGAGAAAAATGAAAAGGATTATGAAGTTTAAAGTCGCATGGAATTCGAGTACTGACCTAAACGGTGTCTTTCATGTATTTAGGAACAAAATTAGAGACAAGATAGACCCACTTAAAAGTTATTCAGGTCAGCTCACTGACAGTAACAAAGAAATGTGTACAGTCTTCAACACGTATTTTCTCTTAAGTTTTTAGGAAGGAATATGGAGAAATTCCAGAAATAAAAACAAAATAAGTAGATATGGACGCAAATAAGATGTGCACGATCAAAGTCACTAGTGACACGGTTCTTAGACAAATACGTAGACTAAAATCTAGCTAATCCCTAGACCCTGATGAACTGTTCTTAAGAGATATAAAGGAATGTAAGGAGGAACTTAGCAAACTGTTGGCTAGTCTTTTCAACGTATCACTACAAACTGGCACAGTATCAGATGAGTGGAAAATAGCAAATATGATACCTATCTACAAAGCAGGAGACAGGTCTTTAGCATTGATTTATAAACCAATTAGCCTAACCTCCATCTTGGGAAAATTGATGGAATCAGTAATTGCCGAGACTATTCGAAGCCACCTTGAAAGACAAATTGATCAATTGTTCTCTGCACGGCTTTACAAAAGGGCATTCCTGCCTTCCGAATTTACTAACCTTTTTCACTATGTGTATATGGACACCAGGAAAGCTTTTGATAAAGTTCCACATCGGAGATTAAGGTTTATAAATATAAAACAAAAGTAAATAAGGGGAATGTAAATAATGTGTTAAAAATATCTAAACCAGACAGGACCCGCAAATATGGGTTCAAGTTGGAAAAAAATTAGATTTAGAAAGAATTTAAGAACGCATTTGCTTGGGAATAGAGTTGTGGATGAGTGGGACAATCTCCGGAATAACGCCATTTAAGTTAGAACTTTGAGTAGCTTCAAAAATTGGTTAGACAAGTACATGAGTGGGTGTGGGTGGGTGCGAGTTGAATATGCATAGCTTGGACCAGTAGGCATGCAGCAGTACAGCAGTGCAGCAGTAGGCAGTACACTGCCTGCAGCAGTGCTTCTTCTTTCTTACGTTATGTTCTTATAAGTTCTGGTTTAAACAAGACGTAATCTCCTGTATCAAAAGCTTTACGTTGAACAATAAACAAAGTCTAGCATCTTTATGATAGCATGATTAATATTTTATTCTGGTCTTTAGCCAAATTGGCAAGGGTTAACAATATTGTGAGTATATTTGCTCATACATTATCTTTTCAAATAATTTAGATAATAATAAACAGGTATGGGCGTTGTTAGTTTATAGTTGTTGATTTTAGGTGGATGTTCACCTTTCTGGATCGTGGAAAACACCTGCTAGATCAAATATATAAGGGAAAGTCTTGGTTTCAAGAGATTTACTAAACTAAGTTGTAATGAATGTTCATAACACATGGGCAGTTTTCTTATACGTATATGGTTAATTGTTTTCTTTGTTTTTCATGTGTTTAATACTGACGTTACCTCTGAAGAATTAGGTGGGACAGGTAGGAGGAGCCTTTATAATCGTTACTGAGGTAGT